AATGAAACCTAATAGTGAACGCAACAACTGCAGGAAGTTTGTGTAAAACGAGTTTTGCTGATATTTTTAGGAACTTTTTGTACAATTCTGTCTGCACTGTGTATTTTTTATATTTCTTAACAATCATAAATACTTAATAAGCTTCTTTTTTGACATATTTCGTCTCCCTGACACTTGGCCATTGCTCTATTAGCTCATTTAACTGTGTACTTTTCTAATGCAGGATGAAGCTGTTCACAAGAGAGTGAAAGCTTGGTGTATATAGTTTGTGTTTAACTCTTCAAAGTTTAGATCTTAAATAATAATCTTTAAACTTTAAAAATAAAATTTGATTTAGTTTTCTTCACAGAAATGAATAAAATGCTGAGATAAAGGCCTATGATGTATATTTGTAAAGTTTTCTTACACTTTTAAAAATCAGGAAGGCCTTGTGACCCCCCCATGAAGCTTTAGCCATTTGGCCGGTGGATAAAAAAGGATTAAAAACTTTGCACCCTGACCCCGTGTGAGGATTTGACCACATAATGCAACTTCTTAGCAATCCCTTCAGAATCAGGACAAACAGAGAGGACTGTTTGTCCTGATTCTGAAGTTTCAGTTAGTACTCCCACAAATCTCTCTGCACAGTGTCCTATAACTGTCCATTCAGTATAATCCAGAGGGGAGAAGATCTGATACTGTGTGCTCATCTGAGTCAGCTTCAATTTAAGTCTGCAGGGAGACATTTTTCACCCCGGGTTTCCTCCTCTCAGGCATCATCAAAGGTTGCCTTATGCGTTGAGGTTTCTGTGGAGATGCAGTCTGAGAGAAAGGCTCCTCCTGTGCATGCTCTTTGGGTTTAATCTAGATTTGTATTTACAGTTAAAGCCGTAGTACAGACCTTTTTTGGATTGGCCGAGAGTTAGATAAGAAATTGATGCCATTCTCATGTCTGTACAGTTAATATGAGTCTGAAAAAGGAAAGAATAAAAATGAGAATTCACTGTTTTACAGGTGTTTATGTGCTGTGTCAGTGTCATTATTATAAAGTGTTATTGACAACAACTCGATTCAAATTAAACTCTTTTTACTAGGAAAATAAGAATAACACAGTTTCATAATAATGAGCTAAACCTTGTTTTTAATTATGTTCATTCATTCACATATTTGGTCCTGTTTATTCTTATTTATTTATTCATTATTCAAACTTTTGTAGCACCATAGAAAAATATGTTCTTGTACTTTAGAGGCTTAAGGCTGAAATTAAAGACTGGATACAAAATGCCTGTTTTTTGGTCCTATGACCTTCAGCTGGAGGACAAGTAGATATAGACTGAGTTTCCATTTTGGGGTGATCTCCTCCATTTAAAGAATAGTTCACACTTCCTTAATATTTTCTGTTATTCATGACTTTTATCTCCATTAATCGCTACCGGTACATTTCTGGCTCGTCTATAAATGGGATGCATCATCTATTTTGGCATTTCCCTGCATGTCCTGAACCTTTTAAGTGACATTTACTACCCATATACCTCGGTTAGATCTCCCAAAGACTAAACTGAGCTCCTGATTTTGAAAGTCAGCCCCACTGAGGAGGAGATGCAGAACAAGAGACGATAAAATAGAGCCGAGCTGACAGGAAATCCATACTCTGCAGGTCTGTTCTCTGCAGGCGGGAGGGCGGCGGATTTCACCTCCGTCACAGTCTGACATTTTCAAGACAGTGCAGCAGAGGAACGCCTGCATATATGACTCAGCGGAGGATGATTGTTAAAGAGCACCGGACTGTCAGCACAGAGCTCGAGAGTCACAGTATATCATATTATACTGTGTCATATTCTTATTGCGTCTTGTTCGATCTACAGTACGTTGAAAGATACTGTGACTAGACTTAGTGTAAAATTGGTTAATATTCTGGATTCTGGGATTCAGTGCAGCTGCAGCACACAACAGGTGTGTCTCAGGGACTAAAACAAACTATGATGTGTTTCCAGATCTGTCATTTACTTCTTTATGGCATCATTTGATAGTTAAAGTTGTCATCTTTTTACTAAAATTCATGAAAAACTATCCAGACAGAGCAGAAAAGTTTAAGCTGTTTTTTAAATCCATTTTATGTCCCCTATCCTAAGATTTTTGTAGATTTTTAAATTAAATTTTCAACTGTTATTAACTGTTAAAAGAACGCACAGATATATTCTTCGCTGTCATTTTAATATAAAATAAGAATACAGAGCCTTACTGATAGTTCACAGTAGGCTCCAAACTTGGGCTGCAGCTAACTAAATATTTTTATTATCAATTAATCTTCAATTAAATTAATCTTTTATATACGTGTATAAATCTAACATCTAAGTCCCATCTTGACTTGTTTTGTCTGAACAACAGTTCAACCTGAAGATATTCAATTTACACTGACGTATAAACAAAGAAAAATAGCAAATCCTCACATTTTGAGAGGCAGAGGCATTTTTGCTTTACCTAAACGATAGCTCGATTATCAGAACTGATGACATTTCTGCCAATGGACCAACTGCCCCCACTGCTGTCACGCATCTGTCTAACACCACTGTAACACCAGTACGTCATTTAACTTTTATAGATGTTTATAGACATCGCAGAGGCAACAAGCGGTAAACATGGCTAAAAAAACAAAGTGCCTTCAGCTGCAGTTTCTTCCAAAACCTCTGAACGTCCCCTCAGAAACCCCCCGTGCCTTCACAGACGTCTATATTACCCACAGGAACTGACAGATTCTCTAAAACCCTGATTATTGGATATAATATGTGTGTGCTCCTACAAGAAACAACTACTAAAACAACAGATTTCCTAGAGGTTCTCGGGATTTAGATTCTTAAAAAAACAAAGATAATTTGTCATTTTCCTGGCAATGATCGTTAAATGAGTCAATATGAGATGATTCTTTTCACTGCAACATGCTTTTAAAATGCACAGAAAGCAGACAAACACAGACACCATGTGCCAAACAGACCAGAGCGCTGAGCACGGTGAGGACAGGTGACAGGAAGTGGGGTGCGGCGGACACACAGGCGTCACCTCTCGCTCGTTCTCACCCAGCTTCCACTCACTCGCACATGAACACAGAGCCGTTCGGTGACAAGACCAAGGATGGCGATGCGGTGAGCTGAGAGGAATCATGGGGTACATGAGGGGTGATGGAGGCCGTGTTGCCATGCAGCAGCGAGGCCATTCAGAGCCACGGTTACCACGGTTACTACGGTCATCATCATAACATTACCACTGTACCGAGGTTAGAGAAACATGCACCACCTTTTTGGGCTTCACTCCTCGCTGCGTGGTTGAAGGAAAGAAGGGAAGGAAGGAGGAAGGAAGGAGGGAGGAAGGAGGGAGGAAGGAGGGAGGGAGGGAGGAAGGAGGTTAAAGGTCAAACGTTTGTCAGAGGCATGCTTGGAGGTGACGGGGGACCGCAGTGAGTCGGCGCTCTTCGTTGGTGACCTCGATCAAATAACACAGTGCACATATTTCATTTCACTTTCACACACACACACATTTCTTCATTCAGTTCACATAAAAGATCCAATTTAAAATGTGTGAAACGTGAGCGATGAGTCATTAAAACAGTGTCTCTCTTCACTGTGAAGAATAAATAATATTCTTATAAATTTGCAAAGATTTGATTTTTTTCCTCCTCAACACATTTAGAGCTCCGGGAAATAATTTAAAATTTTTGTGTTTTATCACAGGAACAAACTAATAGAAATGCAAACCAAGAGCTAAAGAGAGAGATAAATTAAACATACTGAGCACTTCTGTACAATGTCGAATTTGATGAGGAGAGACGATAATGAAGGTGTTTACATACTTAAAGTGTCCATATAACTATTTACTGTTAATTTATACTTTCTTACATGTGCAACTGTCCATGTCTGATTTGGCAAATAAAACATAATCTAATTCTAATATTTCTGTTTTTGAAAAACAACCTTGTCTCTGAATCTGTCTGAATAAAATAAAATAAAATACAGGTCACTAACCGATGGGTCTGTGAAACATACAGTAAATGTCAGCTGTAACATTATGAACATGCTGACATTTGAATCTGAATCCTATGAGATCTGACTGGATATGATAAAAGCCGATAATCAGACATTTGGGATTAAAGCATGTCGGATTCTCCGCAGCTTTAGAAGTTAATAGATTTTAAGTCTGGCTGGTAAAACTCCACATTTTGTATTTGTCACATAAAATGAGGTCAACAAACGTGAATAAAAAGCATCCTACAGCTACTTCTGCATATATAATAAAATTATTATTACTATTATTATTATTCTACACATTAAGTTCAAGGTCGAATCAAACTCAAGGTCACTAGGATATTTTAGGAGATATTATCTACTGAGAAGAATCATGGCTGCTGTGACTCAGCATAAGTTTCTTTTTTTAGATTTCCTCTAATAGTGAAAGAAATCTTGAAAGAGAAATATAAAATTATATTCATACCCATGATTATAACTTGGGGGATAATAGATTTTAGTCATTACTCTCTTCTGGTCATTGTGGCTGACGGGTGACTAAATGTGAAGCTATTAATCTAAAATAATCTTAATAAAGTCCAGATTCATATTATCCATATCCATATATAGTGCAGTCAGCTGGATCTCTGCATTATAAAATGTAGAATTAATGACAATATTTAAAATTTAGCTTTGATTTAAAATTTTTAAAAGTTGAGAATTATTGAATTATTATTAAATTATTATAAAAGTTATTTTTATCCCATGCTTTGACTGCATACTTGTACAATCAGTGAGCACGGCAGCAAAACTAATACAAAGTATGAAATCTAATTATTGGTAATTATCAGATTTTTTTATACACAAAATAACTCAATCGTGGCTAAACACTGAGTTCAATAGAGCAAAAATAAACGAGTAATACAGTAGAGTAATAACTAAAGCTTCCCACCTCATTTTAATTTAAACAGTTAAACTGATCTCAAGGTAGTTTTTGTATTTGTTTCACTTAATAAATCATCTGTCGCTGTATCACAACAGACAGTTACTGTATTTATAAGTAAACATCGCCCTCTGCTGGTCAGATGTGAAAACAGAAAACTTCAGCTGTTGATGTAAGAAAATCTGTTCAGTTTGTATAATTTGGTAAATTCACATATTCTCGGATTATTTAAAAGAAATTTGTATTTAAATTATGGAGTAAGATTATGTGTATTTATGAAGGAAAGAGTAATAAAAAGTAATATATGCTCTCCAGATGATTCTCCATCCTTTAACAGGCATGTATAAAGAAGAATTAATAGTTTATAATGTTTAACTTTATGTATATTACTTCTTTTTACTGTAAATTACTAAATTGTCAGCATGTCACAGACAGAAATTTACATTTAATGCACTGAGACTTTTCATACCTCTCTTTCAAACTAAATTATAACAAGATATTGAGCAAAATAAATGCACCTAATCATAAAAATGCTAAATATAAATGTTAATAAACTCATTCAAGGGTTGCCAAGCATCTTCACACACAGCTACAACTAACAAAACCTGTAGAAAAGGAAGAGTTTTCTTTTTAAAGGCAGTCAGAAATGGATGAACTGAACTCTCAGCAGTGCAGGTGTTGCATTATCTCCTCACAGTCAACACACAGGGTTTACTTTAGATAATATAGTGTGTGTGTGTGCAGGTATGTGAGTGTGAGTGTGAGTGTAAAAGTCCAGGTGTGTGCTGCCGTATCTGCTCCTGACTTCCTGCAGGGGAACTTTGTGTTGTGACTCACCAGTTTAGTGGACTTGGGCGTCTCCAGGATCTCTGAAGAGATAAAAAAAGAAAAAGGCAAACAAATAAAGTTAGAGACAATCTTTCATATTATTATCAATGTTTACAGTCTTTTTACAAGGTATAAAGTCCCACAAAGATCCTGGAGCAAACAGATTAAAGTCAACACTGATAGCAGACTGTTAGAGACACGGTGAGCTGTGGATACACTGCATGAACACACACACCTCCCTTTTCTCCCTTCAGATGATACTGGAAGAAAGCAACTGTTATTTGTAGCAGCAGAACAACATCAAACACAGAGAGAGAGAAAGAGAGAGAAATCCACATCTTGTATAATTTTCAGTAATAATAAATGTATTATCTCAATCTTCCTCTTGTATGCCAGAGGAGTATCGAGGAGTAGGAACCAGAGGGGTGTGAGTGAAATCTGAGCAACTTTACAGGAGAGCCAAAACAAAAAATGTCCCTATATGTCCTGACTTTGTTTATTAAATTAAATCTTTAATCTTAAAACCTCATAAACACGTGGATGACGTTGAAAGTTCAGTGTTGGTTTCTGATTAATAATTCTGGATTGGTTTAGAATTCACGTGAGCCATTTTGCCAGTAGAAAGAGCTCATCAAGATATATATAAATATAAAAATATAATTCTCACCCAAAATGTCACATACACTCCTCTGGTTCTCACCCTTAGAAATAAAATCTGTTAAATTAAACACTGTGAAAGAGTCGATTTTAAGACATCAGATTAGAGCTGGGAATGATGATGAATTGTAAAATTGAGACTTATAACATGAATGCTATAATGTTGAGATAAACAGCTGCTAGGGACTAATATTAACCAGATATAGGATATTACAGATGCGGTGGTGTTTCACTTCGCCAAAAATATGGCGTCTTTTATAGTTTTTTAAGAGAGAAAAATGCTTGAAATCGTAAATCCGATATTTTATTGTGAGGCCGTATTGTCCAGCTCTATATCAGATCAGTCGATAAAAACTATATTTCTCCTCACAGTGTGACAGGAGCTAAAGAAGTTAAACAACCTTGTACAACCGCAGTAACCATCAGACCCGGAATCCCTCTTTATAGAATATTTTAAAGTTTCATTCATGTCAACTACAGATAAATAGATTAATTATCAGCTAAACATTTTACATGCAGCATGTGAGCTAACAGAAATTACATCCGAGAGTTGAAACTTAACATCCTGTCATTAAATTCTTGTGCATGTTTGCAGCAGAAATCACTCTCTAATAACTTTTATATGATGGTTAATTATTAATGCGGAATAAGTTTTGGTCTGTGAGGAAACTGTGCTCATCCTTGCTGTTATTATATTTCATCTCTCTCGTCTTCAGGCGAGCACTGCGGCTCTTTTCCTTAAATATCCTGTAAATGAAGCCATAAAGAACATTAACGTAATATTCCCCTTATGTCTAAGAGAGCAAGCTTCTTTAGGTGTAGATATTAACTTCAGTTCTGCTGTAGCTTTAACGTGAAGAAACATCTCCTGTAACACATCTGAATCACCTCTTGAGTCTCGTTCTGTTCCTGAAACGACGACTCTGCCCCAATAAAGTGAACAAGTGTGTCACCGCTTTAACTCCCCATCTCTCTGCGCCAGGAAGTGGACAAACTGAATACAATGCACCAACCAAAACCGCCGCCCCCCTATTTGATGTAGCGGCAGTGAGGCGTAACCATGGAAACAGAGTGCAGCTAGCTCCATCCTCCAGAGGATAAAAACATATTGGTGACCAGATGTGGAAAGTTTAGGCAATTTCTTTTCTCGTGTCAAAAAGTAGAGAGAGAGAGAGTACATTTAAATCTCTGTTTGATGCGGTAGAATAAAAAAGGGGGGATTTTATACACAGTAAGAGATATATATAAAGCTGTTCTGGAGCTTTCAACACAATATTCCTCAGCAGAAGTGTTGCTAACGGCATTTGTGGTGAGATTACTGTGAGTTTAATTTTGTCCGTGTCCTGCAGTCCTTGTTGAGAGAGAATTATGATGTTGTTAGCTGGTAATTGTACCCAAAACAGTTTAAGTACTTTGCTGATTTTCACTATAATTTTGTCTCTCATCTGCTCTTCCCAAAAAGAGACACCAAACACCAAACAAGTCGTGTTTACTCTGACTCTCATGTTTGCTGTCAACAAGAATTCAGATGACGTGTTGTTATTAAGTTTAGTTTGACATTTACAGAACATTTAAACCTTAACAGCTTTACTGGATCAGGAGTGCACACAGAGGGGTCTCAAACCCACAACCTTAGCAGTGCTGGTGCCACACTCTGCTGGACTGAAACCACACAGTGTCCCTGTAATGAGATATTGAGGCACATTTATATTTCAGGCCTTTAGCAGAAACTCTAAACCACAGGGACATACATTGGCTGAGCAGATGGAGTTACACTGCCTTGCTTAAGGGCGTGTATACACTGATGCACAAATACAGATGAAGCCTCATCTCATATAAAAATGACCTTTACAGATGCAAAAATAATCAGGTTTATTCATGTGTTAAGGGTGGCACAATGTGAAAAGATTTTCTGTGGTGGTCCCAGTAATAAACGTTAGAAAGGCAGTTGCAGAACAAAACTTATTGAACTTATTCTAATTATAACTAATTAGCCATTAACTCCCTCTGTTCTTTCATTCGTTTCTCTCTGTGGGATGTCTCTTGTTTTTCTGTGACTCACTCTGTATTGAGTGTTTTGTCAGAGCGATTGTTATTTGGGGTGCTTTAACTGTGCGCTCTCCCTCAGGCCTCGCTGTTCATGAAGAGCTGCTTTCTCTCTGTTACAGCATCTCTACTTCATACAGCAGTAGGCTTTATGTTGTTTACCAGTTTCACTCCCTCATGGTGAATATCAGGTATTGTATCTGTGGCACATTGGCAAGGTATGGACTGGTTAGGGGTGTGTGTGTGTGTGTGTGTGTGGGCATAGACCACATCCTGATTTTCCCGTATTCCACTGGCAATAGCCTCAGAAGGTGAAGCGTGTATGAAAAAGAAGGTTATTTACGTTCATTTTGATGGCCAACAAAACTCCAATACTCAACCGACCGATGCTGTTACGTCAGTCAGGGACAGACTTTAGCATTCATGGGGCTGCCTGACTTTGCTGCAGTCTGGCCAAAAATGATGTAAATGTAGATTTTTATGTAAAAGGTGTTTTGCAGGACGCTTGTTAGCTCACCTGGTAGATGAAGTCTTAACTGCAGCCGGCCCTTTGCTGCATTTCATCCATTAACCTATCAATCTTTACCTGTCCTATCCAAATAAAGGCGTAAAAAGCCCCCCAGTAAAGGAAAATAAAGCAGGTATTTTGCATCACCAACTACCAGATGAGGCGGTTTATGAAAAGCCTGGATTCAAGAACAAAAACCCTTTCCAACTGTTGGACTGAAGTGCCCTCACTACTGTGAGCAGTGAGTCAGCATCAGTTGTTATTGACGTTAGAAAAAGATGAATTGTTTAACTGCGTGCAGTCACGTTGCTGAATGAATGAATGAATACCGCTGCATGTTTAATGTTCTGATCATGAACGTCCCCTAGACAACTTCCATTTTAAAAAGGTCAGTATCGACATGTTTGCACTTTGTCTGAACAAATTCCCTTTTTTTACTTACAAACCACCAACAGAATACTGAAAACTACCGGCTGAATGATGACCAAGGACACAACTGTAACCATCTGAATGTGTGTGTCCTTACCACGTTTTGGGACCTTGCCAGTGCCGGGCTCAGGTGTCTCTGGAGACGTCGTGTCTGCCCCATCATCAACCAGCTGGATCTGAGACACAGAGACGCAGAGACAGACAGAAAGACAGCAAGAGACAGTGAGTCACGTCTTCTGAAACATCAACTATCTTATTCATCAGCAGAGCTGGCAGAGAGGAAGCGACAGATGTTGAAGAAAACAAAATTGCCTTGATTATTAATGTTCATTCAAATATAGCACTCCCTAAGTGAGTCGTAATTTTCTCTAAATCTCCATAGCAACCTTTAAAACCGCAGTGCAGGGACAGTCAGGGTCAGACAGTCTTTTAAGCCAAGCGGGAGACATAATGAAGAGGATTAGTAATACGACACCTAATCGATACAGAAGCTGACCCATGTGTGTGTCCGTACCTGCACAACTGGGTCACAGGCAGCATTAACACTATTTACTCTCTGGGCTTGCTCAACAAAGTGGGCCTCGTGTAAGAACCACTCAAACAAATATAGATTTGTTATTAAGTGTCAAGTGCAAGTGATTTAGGACAACTTGACGACCAGTTTTGTTGTCAAGAATTGTCTTTAGTGCCAACATTAGGTCCAGGCCTTATGTAGTACAACTCATCTCACAGCGGGGAAAAAACACCAGCAAGATTATTCTGCATAAATCTGTTTCAAATATACTGAAATCAAAATGGAAGTTTAAAAAATGAAAAACAAATGGCCTGAGCTGCCTCGTGGCTTGCCAGCTGACTGAACCCTTTTACTGGCACGAGTATTTTGGCACGAGAGCTTGTACAATTTATTAGTTGCTGCGAATATTCTCACGCTCCAATCGTTGCATCTGGGTCTTCGTGCAGGTCGCTGCTCGACCTCGGTTGCACTCAACGATGTAACATCACCTGTAATGTAATTCTCTTGTCCTTCTCTGTGTCACATTCCCTCTCATTTAGGTCTTGGCACTAATGCCTTAGCTTTTTCTTTTGCATCTAACTTCATGTCAGACTATTTTCTGAACTAGCGTTCTGTCTGTGCAGGCAGCCTTACACATCAAGGGGTGTCGATTAAGCAAGTAGTCAAACCAACAACCACACAAATACTCATCCACTCGTGGCATTTGTCAAGTTGAAACATTTAAAACACAAGATAAAACAGGGTTAGGATTAAGAAATGGTCTTCGCAGGAGGAGGCCCAATGTGCCAAAGACTTTAAGAGGTGTCCTGTGGAGATTTGATCTCTGTGTTGTTTGTCTCGTGCACGCACATGAGGACACACAGCGTCTGCACGTCCGCACACTTTACTGACAATTTCACACTATATCACTGATTGACAGGTGGCGGTAATGTGCCAAGAAACGCTGCAATGTGCCAGCAAAGTGAGGGGAGAGGAAGACTGCTAGCTAGTAAACATGTATGTCAACAAAGCTGGATTTACAAATGTTCTATGAGGATGGAAATGCATTCGACATGTTCGTTAGACCTCAAAGATACACACAAACCTTTAACTCTACTGTCTGTGCTCTGTGTGAGTGTTTGTTTACTGCTTGTTCATGTTGAGAGCTTCCTAACAACATGAGATATCTGCCTACAACCTGCCACAATGAGAAAGTTGTAGGAGTTAAGAATTAAATGCACATAAACTTTAAGCAGTGACACAAACAACTCTTAATATTTCCCATATTGTTTTTTTTCTTCCTTTTCCTCTGGATGTATCTGACTGTCCCTTCCAGGCCATCATAGGTAATCTGTGATCACTGTAACAGCCTTGGAGGCTTTGCAGTATTTTTCTGGGAGACAAAAATAAAGCTGTTTTTCATCTGAAAACAACCAAGCATTAGAAAACCTGCTGGCATCATTCAGACAGCAGAGAAAAATATCAACCCCCACACAAACCCACTGCGTCAAATAAAAAGAAAAACACAATCTCAAACATCTTTCAAAATGAAACACTAAACAATCGATAGATGAGAGGTTGTACTGGAGACTATGGCATCATCCTCTGATTCAGGTTTCAGCACGGACACATCAAAGCATTTAGGATCTGTACTGAAATAGTTCTGTAGTCACCTGCGACTGTCTCACAAATATCCCGCGATTCTCCTCGCAGGTGAAGTAGCGCTTGCCCTGCACGGTGCCGTCGTTCTTGCCCTTGGCCTCGTCCAGGATGACGCCCACCCATTTTCCGGAGGCGAAGAGCGTGTTGCCGATGTAGGCCACCGTGCCGCGCTGACCCTTCCCGATCACCTCCACCAGGGAGCCCACTTTGACGGGCCGCCCGCCTCCGTCCGAGCTCATCCTGCTGCTGCCGCTGCTGGTGGTCTGGGTGGGACACACACACAGAGAGTGTTAAAACAGGAATTCATGTTCACATCAACACTACTGGAAGGTTTACTGGTCAGAGGGAGTCTGTGAAATCAGTTGTCTAATGTGGTCTGTGGCTTTGGAGGAACCTTTTCTAAAAGTCTGAGTCTGAGTCTCTTACCTTAGGCTTGGTGACAACAAATTTACAGAAAGTCTGCGTTACAAACTGGAGAAACTGGAGTTGGATAGTGTAGGAACACTAAGGACTAAGTGAGGACATCCTGGAACAGGAAGCACCAAATTTAACTATTGTTTTATTTGAAATGTGTGTCACAAGTTCCCCATCTATAAAGTGCAATACTAAATGGCTGTACCCTTCTGGGTGGTCTCTTTGACTCGAGCGACGACCCCTGTGGCTGGCAAATACAGCCAATGCGATAGTGCCAAAAACTGCAGTTCCTCAAATGGCCACTTGAGATTGATTATAGAAGTGATCAATCTCCATAAGGTCCCATATTGAACTTTACAGCAGAAATAAACATGTTTACAACCTGGTACAAAAAACAGTTGTGATCTCCATAGCTAACTTCCCAGTTCATGACAACTGTAGAGGAGTGAACGTTTATATAACTCACTGGTTTAAGTTATATTTAGGCTTAAAGTGATGCATAATTAGGCTTTGACTTTGAACATTATAAAGGGGATTTGAACGTAAAGTGTATGATTTCTGCCACTAGGGGGTTTCTCACATCAAAACAGGTTTTGAAGTAGTGCGGGGAAAAAAAATATAACATAGTAGTTCTGGTTGTTTTTAGACATTTTAATGCAGAAATGTTACATATTGTACATTTAAGATGATGGTTTAAAGGATTAAACAAACAATCCATTGTAGTTTTATGTTACTGTTATGATCCAGGCTCTCTGCTCCATGTGTCATTCTGCTTGTTGTTTGAGGTTGGATCAGTGCACAAAAGTTTCTTTGCATTTACCAAACGTCTGTTGAAACACTTACACTGAGGCCAAATGCATCACTGATTGCCTCCGGAGATAGTATGAGGCAATCAGATTATAACTTGTCCTAAGTGCATTTATAGCTGTACGTACTCTGTGCTTGAAACTTGGCCTTGGTTTCAATCCATGATTAAAATTTAAAAAGTTCAACTATCTGAATGGTTAGATGCACGCAATAAATCATTATTTCATCCCTTTTAAATGGCATACACAGGTTTTATCCGCATTGATGCACAAGATATTTTAATGATAACGTTTACTAAATCATTCTGTAACAGCTTGTGAAACATTGTTGGTCTTCAGTTTCTCTTACAGCACAATCTGATGCCAATCTGATCACCCTACACTTGCAAGAGTTAAATGAGTCATTGTTTTACAGTAACCACCTTCTGACATGATAAATAAATGGCTTTAGCGCTGTCAGACAGTAATAACTACAGTGCAAAGCTTCACACCCTGAAGTTGTTCACTGGACATTTGCATGAACAGGTCTTTAACAGGACCATGTCAGCACATAGTGGCTAAAAAAAACAAGGGAGCAAAATGTAGTTTTAGTGTCATTCTGACCTACTGAGCTGTTGAGGACCACACACAAAAGAAAAAGAGCAAGGCCTCGTCCGGCACTCTCTAAATGTCAATGCACGCTTTAAACAGCACTGCTTTGCTTTCTAGCTGAGGAGCCAAATTTTTGTGATAAATCCATGGCAACAATCAGCTGAGGTTTCATGAAACAGCTACAACACAGTACAAAAAACGGTTTCAAACCGGGGGGCACATTTTTTACACGAGCTGCAATATATTTTGCAATCAAATAATCCTGCATAACCCAATTTTACAGTGATGTCCTAGAAGTGATGGTGACTCAGCAGAACAGAGAGGAGCAGATATTATTACCCAGAGAGAGAACATGGTCTGACTCTCCTTCAGCTTACTGTAAACACACTCTCTCTTTTATGTGCTGCCGTTTAACTTCAACAATGCAGGAAACCTCTGCAGGACAGTGAACTGAAACAGGCCGACAAACAGCAACATAAAGGCTTTTTTAAATGTGCTAATCTGTCCCGTCCTCTGCAGGTTTCTGTTGTATTTCTACATTTTTAAACCTGTTCACAATTTACAAATATATCTTTTATTCACTCAGACAAAACTCTCTACAAATATCAATCAAAAACTTCAATAAATCATTATTTTTGTATCAATAAGTTCCTTGGTATACTTTGTTATATATCAATATTGACCTCATGTCAGCCAATATTCACTTGTTTTACATAAACACATAATAAAAACGTTTGATACCGGCCAGTTTTTGACACTTTTACCATTAAAAAAATAAACTGTAATGGTGACACTGATCCTAAAGTACCTAAAACATACTGTTTACATTTCTCTGCTGCAATTTGCAACCTGTTTCTTACCGGTATTGGCCTCCACATACACTAATATATCTGCAATAAGCGAATATCGGTTCATTTATTGGCTGAATCGGCTCAGCCAATGTCTCGCTTTAGCCCTAATGACCATAACATCACAATACAACTCCACCAAAACACAGGTTCAACCCATTGGTTCAACCCTGGCAGCGGTACTTCACACTTCGGGGTGGGGGAAGCCAGTGAGGGATCATATTTTTATCCTCCTTGGCCTGTTCTTGTGTACTCTCGTAAAGTCTATAAAGACAGGCTGCTGGATCCTAAATGTGTTAAATCATAAAACCAAAGACTGGCACAGCACTTCCCTCGTGTTAAACAGCTCCACACGGACGTTTGGGGCGAGACGGCCTTCGTTTATTACGAGTGGTCAGCTGATATTGGTTTTTCACTGGCTGATGCCGGTGCCAATATTTCTAGAGCAGGGCGACCGATGGCCAATAAATACTGCTGATATCAAAACAAAGAAAAGTCATGTATACTTTCATTATTCCATGCAGATTCCATATATAAATATACATGGTTATATAGCCAGTAACAGGTTGTTTTATACAGATTTTTAATTAATTAATGAAACATACAAATACATTACTTTATGCTGCAGATTTCATAACGTGTTTTTTTGTACAGTCAGAAGAGACGTCACTCAACTGTATTATTATAACATCATTTATATACAGAATAATGCTAACCAGTAACAGTTTTAGATTAGATTTGATGTCATTTAGGAGGAAAGTGCCAACGTTTAGAAAAGACGATGGTTACTGAGGAAGGTTATAAGACTTTTTCACCACTTTCCCAAAACTCACATCGTCCCTCAGCAGCCACGCTGACAAAGCTTCCTGCTCATATGTCAGGTTTATCGGCCTCGTGAACACAGGCGTCGGCTGATAATCGGCCCAATAATCAGTCCGAATACACGCTGAAGGAGGGCGTCCTGCCCCGAAACATCAGAGTGGAGTGGCGTAATGAATAAGTTAACTTTGTTTCCCAGGTTACCAGTGAAGACAGCAGTGACATGGAAAGCACTACAAAGGGATTGGCCGTTCCAGGAGGAAGTGAAAACAATCAATATGTAATATGTGTTTCAAATGGGAACGTACAGGCCTTAACAGTCATCCATACTGCACACGGTTGGGGGCATTAAATCTATGAAAAGTAAAGGTTGGAATGTGGTAACATAAAGAGGGCTTTGTTAAACATAAGCTCAAAGACGGTGTCACTTCTTAAGAGGCCATTATCAGCGATTATTGACGTTTCTCAACTGTAGCCACGGATTTACTGCTCAAAATACAGACTGTATATATATATTTATATGTGTCTATATATTATATTTATGGAAGCTAAATGGTTCCCCGCTCAGGCATAACTTACAGCTACAACAGTTTCTCTCTCTGCCAAAATATCTTCAATATATTCAAACATTTTGTTGGCAAAAACATGAAATATCATCGAGAAGAAATGATCATCATTTCCACTCTCTTACTGCTTATATATATCAAACTAGACTTCATGTAACAGTTGTTTTTAACCTCCCTGTTAAGATATTAAGCTATGTAGCAGCAGTTATGCCAACCCTGAATTCCCATGATTCCTTAAAGTCTAATTAACCTAGCTTACAATTCACAACATGGAAAGAGACATTTTAACTCGCTGGTGTGCAGTAAATGCGTCCTTGAGCATGTTTCTACATCACTGTCGAGTCCTCCGACCTTTTATTCAAGCTTTAACATCTACTTAAAGACATCAGTCACTTCAGATTCATAACGGAAGCAGGAATCGTTGGTTTACGGCGCTTCAGGGAGTCTGCACAGCTCAAATGCACCTGTCAACAATCTGCAATCAAACATCCATTGGGGTTTATAATGCCTTCATTAAAGTCATCAAATAATTAAAACAAAATGAGTTTCCAAGCTCGCCTGGCTCCAGCTAACATACTGTAATAAAGCATTCAGCGTTGTTCAGTCATTCCCCCGACCTGTTTGCCATGTGCTGGAAGCAGAGAGGACCCGAGGAGGACGTGCTGAATTATTTAGTGCCACTCTACTCTTAAAAACACACGCAAGCTCACACCGAATACGAGGCTAAAAGAAGATGAAAACAGTGATACAGCCTCATTTTTCTGCACCATAACACTCACAATGCTCTGAGGAAGGCGCTGATGAAACTTCAAGACGGTTGCTGTTTTCTCCAAAAAAAAGTAAGCTACCGAAACGCTGCCGTGCACGTGGTTTTAAAGGATTGTCACCGTGTAACGCAGGCTTATTTACAAAGCATATAATCTAAGGGCTACTGTTGGTGAGTAAGGGAGTTTTCTGTGATCCGGAGAAAAGAAAAGAGTAGCTGAAAGGGAAGAAATCTAAGCAGCGAGCACTGATGTCATCCCTGCCTGACTCAGAGACGGATGACGAACAGGAAGTCTTCTGGGGCTCGAGGATTGTCCTGTGGTGTCCAGTGTCTTGCTGACAACAAAAAGCCTTAACAAACCTATTACCTGCTCTGTCATGCATCATCTCCTACTTCACAGGTCCAAGGCGTCACAGAGGTCTGAACCTTAACACCGCAGCAGCAGTGTTGAACCCGGAGGGGGCATCTGAGCCGAACAAAGAGGCCACAATCCAGACAGAGGAATGTAGCCCTGAAATGGATTCGAAACCCTCCTATTCAAAGTGGAAATCGACATGGAACAGATGACAGAGTGAAACTAATTGAACAGACGTAGCAACGACAATGACGCACCGATCTGGACTAACTTAAAAAACACCAGTGTGGTCCGTTCATTCAACCTACCTGGGGACGTTTAAACACCTTGTGCACACTCACCCGGCTGTATGTGCTCCTCCGAGTCTGTGACATGTTTCCGAGCTGCCCCCGAACCGCCTGTCTTGTCTGAAGGAGAGTGTTATCGGGGTGAGCCAGACAGACAGAAGGGGGTCTGGGAGAGGGGTGGCGGAGAGGGAGGGAGGGGGAGTTTCGGTGATGCTGCCGGAGCGTCTCCCTCTATCCTCTCTCTTTCCTCGGCGTCTCTCTACAGAATCACACCATCCCTCTCCTGATCCTCGCAGCCTGAGCCCGCTCTCTGCTGCCGCTGCTGCCAGAAGGAAAAGCCGGGCGGGAGCTCTTTTTTTGGTTTTTGGCTCTGTCAGAAAGTTCCTGAGCAGGCAGACGGTGCCAATCCCAACCCCTCCGATGATGAATGGATCAGAGGGAAAGCAGAAGAGCAAGAGAAGAGGAAGGGGGGGGGGAAACAGCCAGGCTCGGTCTGCTGCGAGTGTATCAGCTGAGCGGCAGCACTGCGCTGCGCTAGTGTCTGCGCTGGCTTCTGCAGGAGGGAGGGTGGTTTAGGCCCAGACGGAGCCACTGGGTCCTAAAGCCTGCACACACGCCTTTTCAAAAAGCTTCTCAAAATAAACCTGACAGTCATTATTCCCGAGCACGTTCTCCTGATTTCATACGATCCGGCGGTACGGAGTTGTTTCGGACTCCTCCAGGCTGCTCTGTGGCTGATCAATGAGCAGTTTGAGTCCTGATAAGACAAATCATCACAGCACAGAATCCCAAAAAAAAAGGCACTAGAGTTGTAAAGGGTAAATAAACAAAAAAAACTCCTTTAAAGCCTTTAAAGCAGCAAGGAAATATGGTAAAAAGCGCCCAGATGTGTCCTAAAAACTCTCCTCTCCTCGCACTGCAGTATACGTCAGATTACTGTCAAACTCACTTTCTTTCTTCGGGCTAAAAGTGTGAAGAGGAGGAACGGAGAAAAAAGAAATTAAAAAAGCAAAAAAAACCGCAGGCAGTAAGCATTTTTCAACCAGAAGGGGAGGGGAGGTGAACCAGTTCAGTCCAATGGCGTTTCATTGTGGCTGAACACAAAAGGCCCAGGTGATGCTCTGTAATGCAGCACACTGTAAGCAAAAGCCAGCGGATTGCATTCGGCCCCCGCCTGATGCTGTGGCCCATCACAGAGCGAAGGATTAGCTCTCCTTTATCAGCTTTTATTATCAGCTGCCTGGCTGGGGCTTTTTCTTTTTTTTTTAAACTCTCAGTCCTCTCTATTTCTGTGTTGTCATCTTTTTGCAATGGAAGCAAAGTGCTGCGGGGTTTCTGAGCGTAGAGGCTGATGAGAGATGTTGTAAGAGTTTCAGCGTCAGAACAAAAGAAACCCAGCCTTCAGGAACAGATATTTATACAATATAGACACAATATGACACAGTGTTACCCCTACACCTACAGCAGGGAGACACTTATTGAGGCTGTATGTATGTTTTTGGCCCCAGAGCCTAAATAAAACTCCCAAAGATTGCATTTAAAGTCTAGAAAACAGTAAGATTTCAGACGTGGGAGAGTAAAACACAGCTGGGGATGTTTAGGGAGACAAAACAAACCTCTGCAGTCTCTTTGCACCCTTTTATGCAAATGACAAAGGCAGAAGCTAAAGAAGAGAGAGGGTGCTGGGGATTTGTGGGAGGAAGGGGAGAGGTGGGGTGGTGGGAGGGAGTCCTTATCTTCTCTACTGAAGGAATAATAGACAACCAGCAGACAGCCAAACTCAAAGAACTGCCTCGTTACAGAAAAAGAGGACAATGGCAGAGGAAGAGGCGTCACCGGCTCAGCGTGCGTCTCTTTTCAGCAGCGGTCCAACAGAGGTGACACACAGAGGAGCAGCAGCGAGCTCACTGCACCTCAGCCGGTCTGCGGGTCCGGGAGGAACCGGTCGACGTCACTGAACAGAGGTAAAACACGAGCACGTCTGCGTCCTTGAGGCTGGCGTTGATTGAGATCATGTAGGAGAAATGTGGTTTAAGTTTTGGCAGGTGGGAAAGAGATCGTGTCGACGCGGAGAGTTGATTCAAAGGGGCTGAAAGGCAAACTGCTGCGTCAGGAGTCATTAAGGTGTCTTAATTATGTCGCAAAGGTAAAGATTTCTTAGGTACGTCACAAAGGGCTGCAAGTTACAACTCATTTTTAGAAGAAATTGATTTGTTTAATCTGATTTTTTATGTCAAAAATAATGAGAAATGCTGAATGTTAGATCCAGATCTTTAAAGTTATGTCTTTATTGATTATGACTAACAGAAAACAAAAGATTCGAAACTGAGCAAGCAACTTATCACCCGTGTTAAGCAGATATTTGTTTTCTTTTTTACCTGATAAATGGTTTAAACTCTTTTATCGATTAAAACTGCAATGACTGATTTCAGCACTGGTTTAATTTAACTAACTAAAGTGTGTTTAATCCATAAAAAAAAACCCAGAACTGATCATATAAACCTTTAATAATCTGTATGTCTCACTGTAAATGTGGTGTTGGCCTCATGATTGTAAAGCAGTGGTTACGTTTTAATGAAGGTGCAAAGATAACTAGTTTATCTAAATTAAATGATCAATTGTTTCCTCTAGAAAATGTAGAAAAATACTGAAAAATTCCCCAATCACCGGTTTCAGAGCACAAGCCGACACATTCAAATGACTTGTTTTGTCGGACCAATAGTCCAATACCCAAAGATATTAAGTTCATGATCATCACATTAAGAAAAATAGCAAGTATTGATCATATAAGTAGCTGGAACTAGGGATTTTTTTTTGTCATCTAACCTTTAAAAATGACTTAAATAATAACTGATTATATATCAAATGCCTATTGATTATCCGTCTCTAATTGTTTTATCTCTAATATATAGTGAGTTATAACCATGTAGCCCACATAAAGCCAATATTTCATTGTAAACCTTAGCAGTTTATTAATAAATAAACAATTTTGATAGTAAAGAAATTGTGTTTCAGTCACTAAATGTGATCATTTGCTGCTTTTATTAGTGAATTATTGTAAAAATTTATATATTTGAGCCTTTAATTGTTTGTCAGACAATCAATCAATTTGAGGAGATTTTTGTGATTAAATAATTCAATAAATAACCATTAGATGAATTGATAATGCGGTAGCTTTCTTTACATTAGTGGATAAACTCTAGTTAATTATGGGATGGGCCTCCTCTCCACTACATGCATGCTAATGTCATCCAGCCTGGTCTCAGCACTTTACCATGCATGCAGGAAAAAATAGGTCATCCATAGAAAACAGTGGCAGAGCAGCTTCATCCCAGTATGTCACTTCAGTGTGCATCAAATAAGCATGAAAGTGCACAATTTAACTGCAGTCAATAAAAAAAACCTTAAAGAATAGAAATAAAAAAAACTATGTGAAAGCATGTAAGAGCTAAATGTGTAATTTGGTGCCATCTAGTGAGTTTAAAGCCTAGAAACCACTGCTCCAAAGACATCACACCGCCTTATTGACCTGAATTATGTTATTCCAGTGATTCATTTAACATTATGAGCAACTATTAACCCCTAAAACAGTTATATAACACCAATATTTTGCCTGTTATACCTGGTGGGAATCAAGATAAATCACAGCATGGGTGTGGCTGCAGCCTGATATGACATTTTTCCCCCTCTAACCAACAGATTTAACCAAATTGGATTTGAAAATCAGGAAACAACAATGTGGAGTGGAGATTAATTAATATAAACCAGAAATAAAGCCCCATTCATCCCCATTAGGGCTGCATATCTGGGTCCACACCGCCTCCATAATCACCAACCAGAGCTAATTAAATATGTGTAATGCTCTCGACTCCATAATTAGTCGTTTTAATGTGTAAATGTTGGCTTTTTAAACAGCTGTGGTATTAAAAACAGGCTTTTTTTAATGCTGATATCTGCAGCTGTGAGTTGGGACACTCCCTGACCAGCTGCTAACAACAGTAGCCGTTAGCATCGGTCGGTTATTCCTCCATAAAAACTCTTAAAACGAGCCAATTTTAATAAAACACACGCAAATGCGTTTATAGAAAGGTGTGTTTATGTGTTTTAAATTCACCCCGCGACTGTCAACATGACCTGTATGTGTTAAATCTTACCTGTTCAAGTGTCCCGACTAACGAGCTCAGCTTCGTCCCCCGACCAGGCTACATCCATCCATGGAGGTCTGACCGGGGCACTCCGTCCCCAAGTGTCCGAGCTGGTGCCTCCCCCAGCCGGCCTCACATACCCGGAGGAGCCCCGGTGGTGGATGTCTGTGACTCTTTGACAGGTTGTAATGTAAAGTGTATTTACTGCATTCACTGGTAGGTATATTAGATAACAGCTAGTGAAAAACACAGACAAATTGGTAAATTATTTTTATTATTTAGGGGGATTTTGTACATTAAAGGCAATTCCTCTTAAAGATTTCATATTTTTTTGCCATTTGAGGCACTTTTTTTTACTATATTTTCGTATGTACAAGCTGGGTAAATATGTTTTTATTTATTATGTAAAATAAATAAATAAGAGGTAAGAAAACAGCAAAAAAAAATCAGCACTCGTGTGTCTTGTCTGTGTTTTTTTTTTTTTTTACATATTTTTGTAATATATTTGATGTACTTTATAATCTTCATGTGTGTTCTGTTTCACCTTATCACCTGGCTGTAAGATAAATGTATCTTTGGACACAATTAAGTTTAATAAGACCAAAAAAAGAGGTCAGGCTCACAGTCTTCTTCAGGGCATTAAGCTGAAACTTAATGTACATGTAGAGATTATATATTAGATCTGTACAACCTCATAACTTGATAACTTATTTAGTTTTTATTATTAAGGAGAATTTTGTACATTAAAGGCAATTCCTCTGAAAAATTTCATATTTTTTGTGCCATGTGAGCCACTTTTTTTTACTCTATTTAGGTATGTACAAGCTGGGTAAATATGTTTTCATTCATTATGTAAAAAAATAAAAAATTAAGAGGTCATAAAACAGAACTGAAGAGGGCAGAAAATGTGAAAAATCAGAACTCATGTGTCCTCATTTGTATGTGTGAGGAGGTTTTAGCAATTGTTTTACACATTTTTGTAATATATTTGATGTACTTTATAATCTTCATGTGTGTTCTGTTTCACCTTATCACCTGGCTGTACGATAAATGTATCCTTGGGCACAATTTAGTTTAATACGACCAAAAAAAAGGTCAAACTGACAGTCTTCTTCAGGGCATTAAGCTGAAACTTTATGTACATGTAGAGATTATATATTAGATCTGTACAACCTCACAACTTGTGAGCACCAGTCTGGAACATCCTGTTTGCAAAACAAACCCCAAGAGAAGAAACCTCAGGTGCCTGACAATCTCTTTTAGGGCTTCCAGCAACAACAATGTGTGGTTCAAGAAAAGATGAAATATGTAAAACCCTAAGGGGAACTGGTAAATAGTTTCACAGCCACATTACATGCTTTAGTCCCGGTATGAACAAATCTGACAATAGGTAAATAATCTATAGAAATAACAAAGCTCATAAGCAGGAAAAAGGAACTGAAGATGTGGGGGTATTTTTAGATGCAACTGTGAAGCAATGAAGCATAATTACTGCAAAAGCTCCTAGTTGACATCAGTATGTTAGTAAAAAACCCTAAAATCAGACATATAATTTATCTAAAGCAGGTTAGAGTTCACAGATTTCTCTCTACTGATGCCGACACATCGTATCGATCCGACGCCACGGCTCTCTTCCTTTCCTGTGTGACACTTATTGGAGTCATTTCTGAGTAAAGGAAGATGAGGCCATGAGGGATTAGAGGTCCATAGTGCAGGATTTAGTGGCATCTAGGGGGGTGTAGTTTCAGATTAAAACTCCTTTCCCTTCCAAGCATGAGGGAGGAACTATGGTGGCCACAAAACCCATGTAAAAAGTCCCAATCTACAGCCAGAAACATGGTGGTTCAACATGGATAAAACCGACTCAATCTAAGGTAACTAAAAACGTACTGTCTTATTTTAATGTGATTATACACTAATGAAAA